CGCGCCACACACCCCCCGGCTGCTGAGGGGGAAAGGGCAAGGAAAGGCATAGACTGGGCGGCAGGATGGGGAAGAGGGCACCGCGCATCCCCGCCCGCCCACGGGCATCACCGCAACCCCCCGATCAGGCCAGGTCCTCCGTCCCGCCCTGGCCCAAGGTCCCATGCGGTCCACCTACCGCCCGGCCATGTAGAGAATCCGGAGAGTCCAGCACTGTTGGTATTTTTCCATGTTGTCTCGCAGGGCCGCCGTTAGTCTTTCCATCTCGTGGAGTTCCTCCACCTTATCCATCCACTGCCTGAGGGTGGGTACCTGTGTCGACTTCCATCTGCTTGGTATCAGGAGTTTCACCGCATTGAGAAGGTGTTTTGTTAGAGACTTCTTGTATTGTGAGAGAGGAATCGGGGTATGATGGAGCAGCATTGGGAGCGGTTGGAATAGGAGGTCGGTGTCCAGCACCTCCCGGATTGTCTCGTAGATTTCTCGCCAAAATGGAGCTATCTTGTTGCAGGACCAGCAGATGTGTAGGTCCATTCCCCATCTCCCTCCACTAGCTCCAGCACATGTCCGGCACCTCGGGAAGCATGTGGTGTAGCCGCTCCGGGGTACGGTACCATCCCATGAGCAGTTTGTAGTTTAGCTCCTGCAGTTTTGAGCATATGGAGCGTTGGTGCGTCAGGATGTATATTTGTGTCCACTGAGGGTCACTGAGCTCAGTTCCCATCTCTCCCTCCCATCGGGCCGCGTGTTTCCCGGGTTCCAGCGGGATCGCGGCCCTGAGGATTGTGTACAGAACCGAGATCCCGTGAGGGACGTGTGAGCCTGCTCTGCAAAGCTCCTCAAAGCTGGTAAGAGGTCTATGGAAAAGGTGTTTTCCATTTTGGGCATTGTAGAAGGTCTTGATTTGGAAATATCGGTACCTATCAAGGGGTGTCGGTACTCTGTCTCCTAGCAAATCAGGCAGCTGTTTAAATGTGGCTGCGTCGCACCATTGATGCATATGGGTCCAGTCCGTGCCCCCAAAGGCAGCCACGTCTTTGGGCTCAAGTCCACCCGCCACCTCTGGGTTATACGTCACGGGTGTCATTGGCCCTGGGAGCGTGGTAAGCGAGAGCTTCGTCCGTAACATACCCCAGGTCTTCAGTGTGGCTCCGATGAGTGGGTGGTTGAGAGCCGGCGTGTCTCTCTTTGGTCCATACCTCCACACCATCGCTGGGATCGCCTCCTCCATCTGTGCTCTCTCCATGAGTATCCAGTGCTTGGGCGAGTGTGGTATGTGCCATTCCACAATGCGTAGCAAGTGTGCAGCCCTGTGGTAGGTCCTAATGGAGGGGAGTCCCACCCCCCGTTCCTTCGGTCTGTGTAGCAGTGTCCTCCGGATCCTGGGCAGTTGATTCCGCTATATGAACCTAGCAATGTCAGAATCCAGCTGAGAGAAGAAGGTGTGGGGTAGGCTCATCGGTGGAGAGGAGAAGGGTCTGCTGTTTCCGTTTCTCCGCCGTGTGGATGACATTCAATGCTCTGGTGGTATTGTCCCTCGCCTCCATCCCAGGGATGAAGCCCACCTGGTCCAGGTCCACCAGTTCCGGGAGGATCCCCCTCAGACGTGTGGCCAGGACCTTGGTGAACAGCTTCAAGTCTGCATTCAGGAGGGATATTGGTCTATATCTAGCAGTTCATGGGGTCCCTCCCCTCCTTCAGTATTACTGCCACAGTCGCCATTAGGGAGTCTCTGGGGAACACACCTCCATCTCATATGGAGTTTATGCTCTTCAGAAAGTGTGGCAAGAGCACATCTCCGAACTCCTTAAGGTAACGGACCGGTAGGCCATCCGGGCCTGGGGCTTTGTTCAATTTGGAGGACTTTAGGGCTGCCTGTAATTCTGTGAGAGTGATGGGTGCCTCTAACTCAGCCGCTTCCGTGTCGCTCAGGGTCTTCTCCACATGCTGTTGTAGATAAGCCGTCCTTCTCGCGGTCTTAATTCGATCTTCATTAGGGCTTTCCTTCCGCTGGCAGTTATACAGGTCTGCATAATATTTATGGAATTCTTCCGTGATTTTGTCCGGTAGTTGGGTTGCCGGGCCTTTTTTGGGTTTAATTTTGGTGATATGGCTCATGTTCCGTTGTTTCTGGAGTGTTCTAGCAAGGAGCCGACCGCATTTATTCGAATATTCATAAAAGAAGCGGCCAGATTTGAGAATCGTGTGTTGTAGCACTCCAGAGACAAGGAGGTCTCTCTAAGAGTTCTCCTAGTTTCCAGTAGGGCTCTGTAGCTGTCGTCCGTCTGGGCTGTTTTGTGTTTGCCCTCCAGCTCCACCAGCCTTTGGGTCAGGTCTGCCATTTGTCTCTGTCGCTCTCTCTTCCTCTGCATGCAGACCTTAATGAGGTGTCCCCGGACAACGCACTTGAGGGCCTCCCAGATGGTCAGCGTTGAAGTGTCCGGCGTTTCGTTCTCCCCGAAATATTTGGTGATAGCGGTGCGGAGGTCTGCCACCACCGGCATCTCCAGCAGGATGGATTTGTTCATCCTCCAGTGTCGTTCTCTGGGTCGGAACAGGGGGGATTTGATGTGGGTCAAGATCGGTGCGTAGTCTGACCATCCCATCGGTTTTATGTCTGCCGATTCAAGTAGGGGGAGGAACTCCTGGGGAAGCAGGATATAGTCCAATCTACTATACCGTTGGTGTACCACTGAAAAGTAGGAGTAATCTCTATCTGTCGGGTATAGAAAAAGGGTGTGTTGGGTGCTCACTCCAAAACGAAAAATAAGTGGGCAGCAGTAACCAATACAAGGATTCCCAACCTTGTAGAAAGACAATGTATACAGAAAAAAGGGAGGAAACCACGCCTTACATTAAATGTGCATACATACATTCAATATCTGTTACTTGATGTAGATATAATATATCCTAAAAGAGAAAACACAAAGAGAGAACACAATGGTGTAGTATATTTAAAAAGTTAAAAACAGGGGTGATACAAAGAGTGAAGGTAATTTGCACTCACATTTGGTAGAGCTAATCAGGAGCTCTGCCGTAATTCACATGGACGGTACAATTCTCGTCTAAGGATATAGGACCCGGTATCTTCAACACTCCAGTGGAATGGCAGTATGAAGGATATAAAAAAAGAAACTCCAATAGTGTAGTAACTTTAGATCCAAGAGTAGAGAAAAAATGAATGAAAGATGTTGTACTCACATTTGCTAGAGCGACAACTTGCTCTAGTATATAGGGCTTACAGTGGTTTAACCCCCACTGTAGGATATGTAGACCAGGAAGTGATGAAAAAAATTACTTTCAGAGTAAAGAGGTGTGTCGCTTTAAGAATTATTTAATGACAATAATAAAATAAAAGGGCTATGTAAAATAACACTTTACGCGTTTCGCCAGTTAGGCTTCATCAGAAGTGTATTAAAAAATGTCCTCAAACAGTCCTTTAAATAGGTAACTTACATTAAGAGCAATAACTTCCTGGTGTGTTCAATCCGTGGAACGCACGCGGCATACCGGAAGCGGCGCGGCGTATCCATGTGTATTAATATCCACTGTGGAACGCACGTGTCGCACCGGAAATGATGCAGCGTTTCCGCGGGCAATACAAGTCCTGCGTTTCAGCATGGAACCAGGGCCGGACTGGGAATTAAAAGCAGCCCTGGAAAAAAAATATTTACCAGCCCCATAATGCGTCGCGCCAGCATAGTGTGCAGATACAGAGTTAGAACAGATAACTTAAAATTAAAAAGTACTTCAACGTAAAAAGCGCACTCATAGGCTTCAAAATAAACAAAAGTGCAGATTTATTTTAAGCAGATGTGCCTTTGCATGTAATCAATGTTTCAGTCCAACTACCTTGACATATTAAGGAAAGCTTGTTAATGGGACTGAAATGGTGAATGTATGTAGGGCACAACTGAAAAAATGTTTATTTTGAAGTCCTGTGGGTGTGCTCTTCACTTTAAATATGTTATTGTGCTGGAGTATGCACCTAGCAACAAGACTGGGCCAATATCTGCTCATTACATATGGTACATATTAATGAAATTTCTCTCTGTATTATGCATTTATAAATGTACATTAATATGTGTAAATATAATAATAAATATAGTAATAGGAAAGTGATAATTCAATAAAGGGAGGTATGAGTGCAACCATTATTTTATTATATTATTATTATTATTATTATTATTATTTTATGGTTGCACTCATACCTCCCTTTATTGAATTATCACTTTCCTATTACTATGTGAGCATTGACTGAACTATGTTTTAACTTTTATAATATCTGGAATTAGACATTTATAAGGTGTTTTAATTGTATAACCACTGATTCATTTATTAATACCCATTATCTCTTAAGAATTCATCTTTTTAATAATGACATAAGATCACAATATGCCTGTAAAATGGTCATTTTATATTAATACACTTACACAAGAAATAGGAATAGAAGGAAAAAAACACTACAGAATGGAATTTAATTATTAAGGGTTTGGATGTACTAATATAAGGCTTGTATATGTTAGACAAAGAAAGCTTGCCAATTCCACAGATATGTTAAATTCATTTGAACTTATATTTCCCTTCAAAAACCGCCGACCCGGAAATCCTGGGGAAATAAATGGTGAACCGCATGGTGGAACGCACAGTGAACCGCATGGTGGAACGCAAGGAAGTGACGCATCGGCGAAACCGGAAATGACGCGACGGAACAGAAAACCCGGAAATGAATAGAAAAAAGGCTTGAAACGCAGGGCGTCACCGTTTCTATGGTGATTGCCCGCGAAAATACAAGCCTGGACACTAATTATCTCACCCCTGAGAGGGGTACATATAGCAGGGAGAATCCATGGGAAGTTTGAATCACCACATCCAGCTGAGGAAGCCTGTAGGGCGAAACGCATACTGGAGAGACTGTGAGACTTTGGACTTTTGGATTTTATGCCAATTTGATATTGTTTTTATTGTTTTTTATATATATATATATATATTTTTATATAATTACCGTTATAATAAAATTATTTATCTTTTATACTATATATTGGCATTTCCCTGCTACTTTTTATTCATTTTTCACAAAGAAGGTGTGTAGTCCTCAACTACACAAGTGTGTGGATTAGAGCCGATCTGGATGGCTCTAATTTTGTGAGTATTACATTTTATATTTATCTCACATTGAAAATTATTACGATACTGCACCATATACGGTTTCTACTTCTATAGGAAATCAAGGAGATCTATACACAAGAAGGGTGAGGGTCGCCTTTACGGACCCCAAGAGCGCAGATATTGAGCTATTTCATATTAGCTCCTAAAATTGTGAGTGGGAAATTTTCCCTTCCTAATTCTCTATAACGGACTTTATTATACAGTTTGCACTATGTTTGGTTTGTCTGTTTTTTATGTCTTGTAGAATTTATACTCTTATGTGAATATAAAGACATAAGGAATATTCAAGGTAGTATTGATATATACCTAGTTTTTATCACTACCCTTCTATTTAAATATAGCGCTACACCACAAGAGTTTTTTGGGTTTTTACAAAACCTACTGATCGAAACACCATATTACACTTTGATAGCTTCCATCCGAGGCACTTGAAAACATCGTTACCTTACTCACAATTTTTGCGAGTACTGCGAAATAACTCTTTAATAGTGATGTACCGAACGGTTCGCTGGCGAACGGTTCCCGGCGAACATAGCATGTTCGCGTTCGCCACGGCGGGCGAACATATGCGCGGTTCGACCCGCCCCCTATTCGTCATCATTGAGTAAACTTTGACCCTGTACCTCACAGTCAGCAGACACATTCCAGCCAATTAGCAGCACAGCCTCCCTAGCAGACCCTCCCACCTACTGGACAGCATCCATTTTAGATTCATTCTCAAGCTGCATGCTTAGTAAGAGGAGGGAAAGTGTAGCTGCTGTTCATAAGATAGGGAAAAGCATAGCTAGGTTAGGGATAAGGGTATGCTTTTTTTTTATTTATTTTTTCTATGTAATGTAAATGCACTTAGTTGTCTGCCACTGCTGCCAGCTTCTGTGTCAGGCTCACAGTGCATACTGTGCCCATTTCCCCAGTCAGTGCCACCACTTACATCTGGTGTCACAATAGCTTGGATTTAAAAACAAAAATCTTTTTTCACTGTTATAGATTGAATAGCAGTCAGTGTCCTTAAAGCGGGTGTGTCAGCCCTACAGCGTGTACTCTGCCAGTTTACAGTGCCACTCATATCTGGTGTCATAACAGCTTGGATTTAAAAACAAAAAACTTTTTTCACTGTTATAGATTGAATAGCAGTCAGTGTCCTTAAAGCGGTGTGTTACGCTAACAGTGGATACGGTGCCCAGTGCCACCACTAACTGGTGTCATAATAGCTTGGATTTAAAAACAAAAAACATTTTTCACTGTTATAGATTGAATAGCAGTCAGTGTCCTTAAAGCGGGTGTGTTACGCTAACAGTGGATACGCTGACAAGTGCCACTAATTAGATCCTGTGTCACAATACTTGGATTTAAAAACAAAAAACTTTTTTTACTGTTATAGATTGAATAGCAGTCAGTGTCCTTAAAGCGGGTGTGTTACGCTAACAGTGGATACGCTGACCAGTGCCACTAATTGGATCTGGTGTCACAATAGTTTGGATTTAAAAAAAAATAATCTTTTTTCACTGTTATAGATTGAATAGCAGTCAGTGTCCTTAAAGCTGGTGTGTTACG